TTTCCCCCCTTTCGTTTCCCTATTTCCTACTTTTCAGAGGCTTTGCTTGTACCATTCGGGAATTGAAAGTCTTTTTTAAAGGAGGAACGATCACATTTGTGGCGATTAGGTCTAATTGTGTTGTATTGCTTGGTAGTGATCTTTTGCATCTTCTGTGTTTTTTTTTTTCTTCGTAAGCTCTTTTTGCATTGACTTGTTTCGAGCTTCTGTGCGTGTGTCTGTTCGTCTCATTGCGTGCGTATGTGTCCGTATGTGTGGCATTCATCTACCATATCATTATCCATCTGTTATTTCATTAACAATGCATGTCTGTGGTTTTTAGAAATGAGAATCAATTCTATCATTTCCCAAAGGTTCATTGAGTTACACTCGAACGGGTACGCTCACTTGAACTGGATTTGGTAGGTTGATCTCGTTTTTAGACTTCACAGATTGTGTTGTTTCATGTGGTAGTTGATTATTCAAAAGCTAAGCTATTGACCTCCCCCCCATGCTAGGCAGGGGATGGCGGTTAGCTTAGTTTTTGGGTTGTTAACTGTCACGCATTTTATCATGTGCATGTGTATCATTCATGACATATCACATGTATTATATAGCATCATTCCATGCATTATGCATTGCATAGCATCATTTATGCATTACGCATGCATCTCTTTATCATTACACGACATCATCTAACAGTAACATATAATGCAAACAGTACAGCAAATCTACACTAAACAATTGCAAAAATATCATTTGGTTTAATGCACTATGAACAGTACCGTATTCAAAATTGCTCAACATGCATACAGTATGGGAAGGGTATTATTGTAGTTGACAAATTTTATTTTCATGATTTTATAAGAAAATATAACTATGAAAATAAAATTTGGCAAAATCGATCGTAAAGGGTTGCTTCGCAACCCAAAAAAAAAATAAAAACGGTACAACCATCGAGCAGAACAAGAAACAACAAAATCAACAGTGGCCTGATGGTGGGCACCCGAAACCAGCAGCGCCACACATTATTTCGAATATTTAATATTGCTGACGTCAGCCTGAACACCCGAAAAATCGAGTGACGCCAACAGACACCAACGAAACTTCGAGCGCAATTTTACAACGCTGCTGACGTCATCCAGCGAAATGAATCTCGCGTGAAACTTCTTGCACCGCTGATGACGTCAGCCTAACTTTACGTGTTAAAAAACAACCCGACACTGCGAAGTTGCAGAATGTTACATCAACAGGAGTTGAAAAGCAATAACATATTGTCAGAATATTATGCTCTAGCCTGCAGTGGGGTGCTCTATAGCGAGTACAACCCTTCTAGGGTTAGCTATTTGTACCACCATTGTTGCTAGTGCAACCCCTCCTTTGCTTCATTCTCTCTTGCCTAGCTAGGTCAACCCTAGCTATGGCTCCTCATCGTGCTTACTCTCACTTCCTAAAACCTAATTTCTCCTAAGCCTACTATTCTCGACATGCTATCAGAGCAGGACGATCCAGTTGGGTCGATCCTGTGGGTGGGCCCCACCACCTCAGTCTTCCGCTGCTCCTACTACTGTTTGTGTCGCACGCCCCGTGGCGTGCGACGGATTTTTCATCCCGCCGCGCGCTCGGGGCGCGCGGCGGTTTTTTCTACCCGCCGTGCGCCCCGGACGCGCGGCGGTTTCCTGTCCGCCGTGCGCCCCGAGGCGCGCGGCGGTTTCCTACCGTGGGGGACCCCCCTTCCCGTCGCCCGCGGCCCCCCGTTCCCGTCGCCCGCGGCCCCCGTTCCCGTCGCCCGCGGCCCCCCGTTCCCGTCGCCCGCGGCCCCCCGTTCCCGTCGCCCGCGGCCCCCCGTTCCCGTCGCCCGCGGCCCCCCGTTCCCGTCGCCCGCGGCCCCCCGTTCCCGTCGCCCGCGGCCCCCCCGTTCCCGTCGCTCGCGGCCCCCCGTTCCCGTCGCTCGCGGCCCCCCGTTCCCGTCGCCCGCGGCCCCCCGTTCCCGTCGCGCGCGGCCCCCGATTTCCCATCGCGGCGCCCTAAGGAGCCGCGCGCGGCCCCTCGCTGCCCCGTGGTGGCGTCCTGGGGGCCGCGCGCCGTCCCCTTCGCCGTCCCCCGCGCTCCTTCCCCCGTTCCGCCCGTTTTAGGTTTTGGGGGTGAGGAGTGTGGGGGTGGCGGCTATGGGGGTGTCGGTTGTGAGTTACTCCCCTTGCTCCTCCTCCTCCCTCGTCTCCCTCTGCTACAGCTGCCGCTGAGGGGGGTGGTGTGTGGGAGCCTAGGGTTTGGGGTTTAAGGGGGGTACCGTGGGAGTGGAGCTAGGGTTTGAAGCAAGGGGTGTGTGTCGAGGGGTGTGGGACTGTTGGGGGAGGTTGAGCGGAGGTTGCCGTCGTGTCGTACGCAGCGCCTGTACTCCGGGGCACTCATTCCTTTTCCTGTCATCCGCAGTCTTGTTCCTCTTGTTCTGTATGTGTCATTTCTTGCTCGCTCCGTGTACGTTCGTCTTGTTCGTGTATTTGTTCGTTTTGCTTGTGTTCGTTTGTACTGCCTACCTGCGCTGCGCCTCTGCGCGCGCCCTGCCTAGCTGCGCTGCGTCTTTGCGCGCGCCCTGCCTACCTGCGCTGCGCCTCTGCGCGCGCCCTGCCTACCTGCGCTGCGCCTCTGCGCGCGCCCTGCTTACCTGCGCTGCGCCTCTGCGCGCGCCCTGCCTACCTTCGCTGCGCCTCTGCGCGCGCCCTACCTACCTGCGCTGCGCCTCTGCGCGCGCCCTGCCTACCTGCACTGCTACACCTGCCGCTGAGGGGGGTGGTGTGTGGGAGCCTAGGGTTTAGGGTTTAAGGGGGGTACCGTGGGAGTGGAGCTAGGGGTGAAACTAGGGGTGTGTATAGGGGGGTGTGGGACTGTTGTGGGGAGGTTGAGTGGAGGCTGCCGTCTTGTCGTCAGCAGCACTTGTAGTCCGGGGCGCTGTCCTGGTAGCCCAGTCGTAGCCAGCTGTGCCAGTCGCCCGTGGGTCTTCTTGTTCCGCCCGCCGGCCTTCAGATCAATCGCCATGTCGGGCCGTGTGGGTGTCTAGAGTAGAGCAACCAGAAACTAGGGAGGGGAGAGAAAGGGGTTGTACTCACTATTGAGCACCCCACTGCAGGCTAGACAACTAACATAATCTGACACACCCCCATAGCCAAAGTGGGGTGTAATCAGCACAACAAACAGTCATAGCAGAAGTTCACAATTAATGAGCAAAGCTAGAGGCAGTCACAGAGGGCAAGTGAGGAGGAGGAGGCGAGACTGTAAGAGGAGAGGAGATAAAAGGCGACGGCTGAAGCTGCAGACACACGGGCGACAGGAGTCACACTGGCACAGCGGCTACCGGAACATCGGCACGGACTTCTGGAGTAACTGGCTCCGCGGCTATGACGAGCGGCAGGAGCAATGGACCCACGGGCCGTGTGGGTGTCTAGAGTAGAGCAACCAGAAACTAGGGAGGGGAGAGAAAGGGGTTGTACTCACTATTGAGCACCCCACTGCAGGCTAGACAACTAACATAATCTGACACATATAGAATTTGAGGTATTCATGCTACGTTTCTATTCATGTAAAAAATATGCCCTACAAGGTTTACACACCATCAGCATTATAATGTTGCCAAAAAAAAATTGACATTCTCATAAAATCACAAGCATTGCATGAATCATCATAATCCATACATATCAAGATACTCAAATTCGTCAATAAAATTAACGCATGTTGCAAGTGTTGCTTCGCAACCCTAAGACGATTTCGTCGCCTCTTGTTTTGATTCTGTATATGTTTCCTGTTTGGCTCTGCATTCCTTTTTTTAAAATAACAGAATCTTCATAGAACTTTGGAATTGTGTCAAATCATTTTGCATGATAACTTCTGTACAGTCACGTCAACATACGTTTGTTGATATTTAATCATGCCAGAGTCCACCAAGTGCTTGTGTCGGGTATGCGACAGTATGGATTCAGTAATTGTGTCGCGTTTCAAGGGGGGAGTCTGATGAAATTGTCTTCGGTCACAACTTCACGGTGCTGTTCGCCAGCACATCGTTTTTTTAATTGGAAAAAACGGCATCAGCATCTTGACCGCATATGGAAACGGGGGTGGAACCCTCCTCCGCGGTTTGGGCGAAATGCCGCCAGAGAAACTACGCGCGGCAAAAAGGCGAAATTTCGCAACCGCGTCGGGAAGGTCCATCCCCACCTTCCCCCCAATGGCGCGAAATTTGCTCATCCCTGACCCTTGCGCTGCCCGCTGACCAAAAATTGCTCAACGTGGGTAAAAAACGCAAATAAAACACACCCCGCTCAAGCACAACCCCCCCCACCTCGTTCTCATGCCCAGACACAACTCACACTCCACAAACACCTTTAGAGTATACTTGTACCCCTGTGTCAAACTGAAGGCATGTTCGAGGGTTCCCCTGCACAGCAATGCGTCCGCTGTGCCACCGCTGTGCCACCGCTGTGCTTCGAAAAACGCGGCATGACGATGGCATTGCAAGGGGATGGTGTTTTGCCTGTGGCGGAAGTTTCGTCCCCGCTTCCATATGCCGTCGAGATGTAAAAATTGGTGTACAAAAGTGGGCGTCGCCAGACGCCCACTTTGTTAAATGGTTCGGACGGTAGGTGAGGCTCGGAAAATTTTTCACGGGCTGACCAAGCTGACGGAGGTTAACGAACTCTAACTGACGGGATCAGGAAGGCGAGACCCACCTTCCTGATCCCGTTGTGATGCCGTTATTCTTATTCTTAGTAATAATGGTGCTGGCGAACAGCACCCACATGATCATGATTGTCACATGAACGCTCCAGTTGAATCAAAACCACACGGACCACCGAAGTATTTCCCGTGATAACCTCCACCCCACCACCACGATTCGTGTCACATAACGGAATGTGCTGTGATGCTGGATTCGCGTGGACTTGCGCGGTATCTGCTGAATTTAACCGAGCCATGGGAGTTAGTGTCGTTCATTGTTTGATTCAGGGACGATGCGCGGATCGTCGAGCCACATGTGCATACCCCGAGACCGATGGCTGACCTTAACTCCCAGTTTCAGATTGCTCCTGGCGCTCTCGTTTCTCGCAGAAGCCTGCGTGAAGCATACCACTCAGGTCGTTTCATTCATCCGCGTCTCTCCGTTTGGACTCTATCACCTTATGCTGTGCAAAAGCCTTCACCCAGTTCCCCGAGCCTTCCTTGCTTAATGTCGTGCTCATGGCGTGGTTTATTCTTTATTATGACTGTTTCGTTTCCGTTGACACGTGGCTACAGGTGAGAGCCGTGCAGCCACGCGTGGCGATCTGTCTCATTGGCGGTGCCCGTCACTTTGAGCTCACAGCGACATCCCTCAAGCGGTAAGGCACCGTAGTCCACTCCTCCTCGCTCACTCTCGTGCTCCCCTTGCTCCTTTCGCCTTGCTCCTCCCACCTTCCTCTCTACTTGGCTTCAGTCGCACATCCCTGCACCTACAGCTCGCATATGTCAGGACGAGACGTGTCGGAATAATCTTTGCAATTGCAACACTGCGACATGAAACCCCCCTTCCCACGCTTTCCCCACACCCCCGATCACGTCTCGTTCTGTTATCGTGTTAACGTCTTCTGTCCGTCACTCCATCCTCACGTGCCCGTATCACCATAGCAGACTTGCCCTTGTCCCTCAAGCAGCAATTCTTTTTCCGCTGCGTTGTTACACAACAGCCATTGCCATCCAGGCCAAGCCGTGCCCTCCCCCGCTGCTCAAACACGTTTACCCCCCGCTCCCCCTCCTCGTTCCAGAGACGCCCTTCCAGCAGCCCTGGCCTCTCACACATATATCCTACCCATCTCAAAAGCAGCCCAGTCCACCAGACACTCACTCCCTGCCTCCCCATCTCCCTCTCTCCAGGCACATCCTATCACCATGCGTGTTCGTCACACGTGTTCGTCATCGCGTCTCTGGATGGGGACGCCAAGGAGCTCATTCTAAGTTTTTTGTCGTCTCAGACACTCCGCTTCCCCATTCCCCTCTCTCCAGGCACGTCCTATCAGCGTACCCAGCTTCGCACGCGTTCATCATCGCATCACTGGATGGGGACGCCAAGAAGCTCGCGCTGCTGGCGGCCCATCCTGCTGTGGTGTCTGTGTCTGTGAGGCGGCAAGTGCGGATCAATGAGAGTCGCTTCCCCACTCACGTGCTGGCCGTGCCCAGTGTCCAGGTGGGCGTGGGGTTGGGTAAATTGTTGCCTTGCGTGCACGTAAGGTATTGGTATGTGCGTGTGCGTATGCATGCGGATTTATAGTCGTGTGGGTGTGAAGATGAGGTACAGAGCTGGGAGGTGTGGGATGACCCATGCAAATTTAAGATTGCAGCGCTAGGGTCATGGGCATTCTGGAACTGCATGGAATCCCATTCTGTTGAGTGAGATGCAGAGGGTGGATGTGCTTGCATGGAATACCACCCACTTCCAACATGTCCAGTGAACTCTTTTTCAACCATGTGAATCTCCCTTCTTTGGTAACCGCCTTTGCTTCGTTTCAAGTGCAACTTTATCAATTTTTTTTCTTTTGCCGGACCTTGTGCTGCTGTATATTTCCCCATGACAGGGCCAGCTGCATCAGTTTCTCAAAGTTGAGCAATGTGTCACAGCCATCAGGTCATTCGAGCATGACCATCGGTTCAAGTACAAATGGGTACTCTGGACTAGACTTGACACGTACTGGACCGCCCCTCCTCCACCGCTGGATTTGCTTGATCCAACGGCCTACATTGTGCCATGTGGCAGTCCGTGGGGTGGCCTCAATGACCGCTTCGGCATGGCTCGGCGGGACATAGCGTTGGGCGCTTTGAAGCGGTGAGGGTGGTTGTCTCGTGCGTCTGGGTGTGTCTGGGTGTGTTCAGGTGCGATAGGATAGGTCATGCTGAATGTCACCATTCACATTATCAATGCAGCCACTAGCCTTCAAGCCTCATCTCTCTTCCAATTACCATTCTTACACTGCTCCATCCCGTTTCTGGCCCACCTCCGCTGAGCCACCACACAGCCTGTCATCCCTCCACCAGCTAGCACAGGCCAACCTGTCCCATCTAAACGGGGAGAAGGCCCTACAGCACCAGCTGCAGCTGCAAGGCATAGCAGCCACGCCCTCTCCCCTGCCCTTCTGTGTGCTGTCCTTTCGCCGGAAGCTCTTCAGCGGCTACGTCTTTGCTCCGCTTCGTTCCGAGAGTGCTGCTGATGGGGTTTCATGTCGGCCCTGCCATCCCATGCCTGTGGAGGGGAGGTGCAACCCATGGCGAGGGTACGAGCCAGGCTGGCAGCATATCTTCATGGCAGGTGCATCTGCAGAGGAAAAAAGCACCCTGAAATATGCATCGCGGTTGAATGGGGAGTTCTGTGAAGAGGAATGGGAGCAATGGCGAAAGAAGGCTCACGCGTGGGATTGCGCTACTGCTCATGATATTTGTGGGCTGTGTCAGCATGCACCAATGGAATGTGCAAGATGCTGTAGGACTTTGTCATAATTTCATTGTAACATAAAAAGTGTTAAGTTTTGTTATATACCCTGCTTGCTGTGTGTTCTAGTGTAGCTACAGTGGTGGTGCACCAATGTGTTCACCTTTCTTTTGCTATATCTTGTAACCTTGCTGTAGTGAACCTCTCCTTCCTGCTTCTCTCGCTCACGCTACCTCAAACCCTAAGGCTACTATTCTAACATGGTAATCAGAGCAGGCCGTTCCTAGGCCTAGTTTTATGCTCGTTATGGCGGCGCCTCGAGTCGCTGCTGATCGACACGGTGGCGAGCTGCGCAATGGCGAGATCCGTCGCTCCGTGCCCGTTTTGTCTTCCCGTTCGCTCCCATTACGCCTTGCTCGTCGCGCTCGTAGTGCCCTGCTCATCGCGCCCTGCGCCCGTCTGTTTCGTCGCCCCGCGGCCCCTGATTCGTCGCCCCGCGGCCCCCCATTTCGTCGCCTCGCGGCCCCCGATTCGTCGCCCCGCGGCCCCCCGTTTCGTCGCCCCGCGGCCCCCCCCCGTTTCGTCGCCCCGAGGCCACCCGTTTCGACGCGCCGGGGCCCCCCGTTTCGTCGCCGCGGACGCCAGCGCCGGCGGGCGCCAGCACCAGCATGGACGCCAGCGCCCGCGCCAGCCCGGACCGCAGGCGCCAGCGCGAGCGTGGCCCGTCAGCGCGGACGCCAGCACCGCGGCCAGCCGCTCGCGCCTGCGCACCAGCCAGCGCCACCGCCAGCGCCAGCAGCAGCTACCGCCGCCCCGCCCCCCCCCCCCCCCCCCCCCCCCGCCCGCCCTCCCTTCCGCTGCTTCCGTCGTGGGGAGGGAGGAGGGGGAGATGTGTGGGTGGCGTGTGTGAGCTGCCTGCAGCCCGTCCCTCCCCTCTCTCTTACTGCAGGGATTGTCGCCGTAGAGAAGGGGGGGGGGGGGAGAGAAGTGCAGAAGGTGAGGGGGTGGTGATAGTGAAGTTGACTGGAGTGTGAGGGTGAGCATTGGGGGGATGGCAGATTCATGGAGTGAGGTTAAAGGGGGGTGGTTGAGTTGAGTTGAGTTCTGAAGGTTCTTAAGAGGGTCCGCCGCTCCTGGCCCCCCACCTTCTGAAGGTTCTTAAGAGGGTCCGCCGCTCCTGGCCCCCCACCTTCTCTCCTTTTCCCTCACTCCTCCCCAACCCCCTTTGTAAACGGAGGTTCGTAAGCGGGTCCGCCGCTCCTGGCCCCCCACCTCTCCTCATCCCTCTCTCTCTTCCCTCCTCTCCTCTCCTCTCCTCTCCTCTCACCTCCTCCTCCTTCCTAACCTCTCTACCCTCTTCCGCTGCGCCACGTGTACCTGTACTAGTTATCACGGCAAGCAGGTTAAGGGGGTGTGTTAAGTTTTGTTATATGCCCTGCTTGCTGTGTGTTCTAGTGTAGCTACAGTGGTGGTGCACCAATGTGTTCACCTTTCTTTTGCTATATCTTGTAACCTTGCTGTAGTGAACCTCTCCTTCCTGCTTCTCTCGCTCACGCTACCTCAAACCCTAAGGCTACTATTCTAACAAAAAGCAAGTTTTTTAGTCTGCATCTTAGCATGAAGGTAGGTACCGTACTTCGTAAACTTATCAGGTGCTGGATGGATGCTGAGATTCATTTCATGGAAAGGTAGCTGAATCCACTCACTCCATTATATTTACTGAAATATCAGTTTCATAACCCATCTAAGCAAGAGTCCGTGATGTGATATTTGCCAAGGGTCAAAGGGCGCGTACTGGTATTAATGAGGTGCACTTACTATGTGCGATAGATGAACCGTACATGACTTTGACTGGTTAAGAACGGGTGTGGGTTCAGCCATATCGGTGATACGGGGGCATAATTTCCCCGTGAACCTGGCCAAGACCTCGACACCTGGTTCTTATCCAACGAGGCAATGAGGAAATCTGGGGAGCTGGATGGCTAGTCTCGACACGCATTAGCTGCTGTCCAAGTGGGCAGAAAAAGAGTGGACAACGAGGCGCCACATTTCTTTCTGACGACATCATAACGTGGACAGAATTCAAGGTACGTGTGGAATCCTAGAATCCACGTCATGTGGGATCCTGTCATAGGCGTATGGCCCTCATTTCTTGGGCTTCACATCTATTCTTAGGCTTCGTTCGTCGCCGTGTGACTGAATTGCACCTGACAAGCCGTGAGTGCTAAGCGCTAAGTATTTCCATTTTCCATTTTTAGGGATTTGCGCTCCCCTGCTTGTTAATAATGTACTCCCAGTAAAACTTATAATAGGTGTGGATATTTACGTCCCTTCGTCCTGACGAAGGTAAATCCCTCTTGCTCAATTCGTACGCACCTTCCCTGATCCCTGAAGATATCTATCGACCCCCACCCCGAGTTCCCCGAAGATTACTTCTACCCTTACCCAAGCTACGGGGATTCGACCAGCTGCCTAATTTCTGAAGTCCAAACATTCGGAACTTGTGAATAAGCTCCGATTGTTCTCCGCGTCAAGACATCAGCAGCAACCACTTCCCTTATCCGTCGCTCCCTACACTACGTAGTCAGCTGAAATGGCTGCTGTTTCGCTGCACGCTTCCGCGGTCGTGGCTCCAGTGGCGTCGCTCTCTACGCTCCAATCATCTCGGGCTATTGCATCTTCGCATCAAATTTCGCGAGCGGGTCTCCGCGTCCCGTCACTAAGGAGCGCCAGCGTAAGGCCACGACGTGCCGCGAGGATAACATGCGAAGCGGCTGGGACCAAAGCAGGTGAGGCAATCGGTTGTCCTGGTTATGTACGTGCGTTACGTGCCACAGGTGCTTAATATCCAGCCTATTTCTGTCAACGATAAGAGGGCAATATACAGCGTTATTGTCAGTTTCTTTGAGTTGACATAGCATTTCTTATGCCACGAAGGACAATTGCTCTGAATTCCCCTGTTTCAAGAATCCTGTTGCCTTAACTACCAAGTTAGAAGATCATGTTCTTATCCGCCATTCAACCTTAGCGCTCTCTTGGTTTCTCACTATTCCTCTTCCACTCATTCGTCGTTTCCTCGCTCGTCCTTCTCGTCCTCTCGCTTGTCGTTCATCGCTCGTCCTTCGTCCTCCTCTTACTCGGTTCTTCCTCCTCTGACTCCTCCGCTCACTCGTCCTCCTCTCACTCGTTCTCCTCCCCACACTCGTCCTCCTCCCCTCACACGTCCTCCTCCCTCACTCGACCTCATCCACTCACTCGACTGCCTCCTTCCACTCGTCCTCCTCTCATTCGTCTTCGTTTAACTCCTCCGCTCACTCGTCCTTCCGTTTAACTCCTCCGCTCACTCGTCCTTCTCTTCTCACTAGTTATCCTCCTCTCAACCTCCTTACACTGATCTCATTCGCCGTCCTCCTCTCACCCGTCCTCCTCGTCTCACCCGTCTTCCTCCCCTCACCCGTCATCCTCCTCTCCCTCGCCCTTTCCTCTCATTCGTCCTCCTCTCACTCGTCCTCCTCTTCTCCTTCGTCCTCGTCGTACTCGTCCTTCCTCCTCGTCTCACTCGTCCTCCTCTCACTCTTCCTCCCCTCATTCGTCACGCTCTTTTCATCCCATCACTAACATGCTCAAACCCCGCCGTACACGACACGCCACCTTTCCTCACCTCACTCATCAGCTGTCCCCTCTTGCCGCCATCCGCGCCTCTCCAACCACAACTTCTGATCTCCTCCCCCCTCATTCTCTGTGCAGTGGAAATCCTTCTTGTATGGTAACCTAGATTCCCCCTCCTCTGTCCTTCCTCCCACCCTCCCTTAACCCATCTTCACAGCAGCAGGAGAGGTGACGGACGCGACATTCAAGCAGCTGGTGCTTGAAAGCAACACGCCTGTGCTCGTGGACTTCTGGGCGCCCTGGTGCGGCCCCTGCCGCATGATCGCGCCTCTTATCGACGAGCTGGCAGTGCAGTACGCAGGCAAGATGGCCTGCTACAAGCTCAACACGGATGACAGCCCTGGCGTGCCCACGGAGTACGGCATTCGCAGCATCCCCACCGTGCTGGTGTTCAAGGGCGGCAAGAAGGTGGATGCGGTCATTGGGGCAGTTCCCAAGGCTACTCTCGTGACCACTATTGAGAAGTACCTGTAAATGTGGTGTAGTGGGCCGTGGATGATCAGCTGCCTGCTCCGGGCTGCTGTGGATGGGGTTTTTTAATTTGAGTTACCGGTAGGTCGATTTTCTATTTCACTGTTATTTACCGATCTGGATGATTTGGTTTCTGCCTTTGGTTTCTTAAGCCGCTTGGGTGGCAGTAGTGTAAGAAACATACAGTATGTATGGTTGTTATGTAAACAGCTTCTATGTTGTCATAAGTTGCTCTGTATCTGCCTCAAAGATAGCATACTGTGCAGCAACCCCGGACGGAAGTTCGATAGAACATGCTTGGTGTTAATCCTGCGAATATATCATCTAAGCTAGTAACTCCTATCTCCTCTTTAAAGATTAAGATTGGTGATTTTGACCAGGCCAACACATGGCGCACAGTTGTGCAGAAGCTAGAAGGACGTGCAGACAATGGCAATTTCTGAGGTACAGCAACACCTCTCTTATTCCACTGTAAATATACAGGTATCCCCAAAACACCCTCCACTGGGCACACCTCTGTGCAAGCCACTCACTATACGGATATCAACAGGCCAAGAAACATGCATACTGTACATTGCATGAAGGCCTGATGCACGCATACTATCCTACCTACCCCCACAAAGGCACGTAGTGCCGGTTTTATGTACAGTACTACCTAGAACATGACAGTCCTAGGGCCAGAGAAGAAAGAGTCTAGCCTCATTATGTCATCACTTGTCAATGCGTTTCTTCCTTTTCTGCCGTTGGTACAGTCTTGACCTGCCATGTTGCATTCGTGCATGGGAGTAGGAAGGAAGGAAGGGAATCCCATGTCGGGCAGAGGGGGTTGGAAGTTGGGGAGAAAGAGAGAGCATGTGGAGAGTGAGAATGGGAGAAAATAGTGGAAGGATAACACAAGGCCATCAGACGAGTAAGAGTGGTAGGCCCACACAGCTCATGGGTGGCAAGATCGTGAGACCAGGGGGAACGAAAGAAACCTTCCTTCCTACTTCTCACGTGTGGGGTGTCAGCACTACTCCATCCATCCCCCAAGGGCCGGGGCTGTCTGATCAACAATCGGAACTTGTGAATGTGTCACTTCGCTGCATCTCGACATGCCGCTTCCCTCCCCCAGGTTGCAACAACTCGATGTTGACACAAACTTTTATGCATCCTCTCCTCACTCGTTCCATTCAGCCACACCCCCCATTCTTCCCCGGCCCCACTCATTGAGGAGTTGGCACACCTAAGAATGTTAAATATTACACTTAAGAAAAAACCTCCCACTTCAACAAATACCTCTGCTCCCTCCACTCCTTCCCTGCCACACAAGCTCCCATCCCCCGCCCAGAAACACCTCGTCCTCGCTCCCCCATTTCAACCCCCCAAACCACCCCTTTCGGGCAGCGCGGACAGACAGGCCAGGTGGCAGAACTTGAGGATGTACAACATTTCAATGTAGCGCTTCATCTCACGGCGCTCCAGCTTTCGAGAAGCCTCAAGCACAGCCATTGCACCCCACCCCACCACAACCCACGCCACCCCACCCCACCCCACCCCACCCCACCCCACCCCACCCAGACCCCCACGACAGCACGGCAAGGACCAGTTGCCTGAACTTGAGGATGTCGAACATCTCAATGTAGCGCTTCATCCCGCGAAGCTCCGGTTCTTGAGCCGCCTAAAACACAGCCAACCGACCCCACCGCACCCCACTCCATCCCACCCCATCCCCCACACACCAGTTGCCTAAACTTGAGGGTGTAGAACATCTCAATGTAGCGCTTCATCTCCCGGGGCCTCAAACATGGCCAAACAACCCCACCCCACCGCAATCCACCCCATCCCACCCACCCCACCCACCCCACCCACCCCACCCGCCACGGCAACACACACCAGTTGCCTGAACTTGAGGATGTAGAACATTTCGATGTAGCGCTTCATCTCCCGGCGCTCCAGGTTGGAGACAAACTTCCAGAAGCCATACACGCGCGACAGGGTCATCAGCCTCTCCGCGTATATTCCCCACGTGTACCTGATGGGGGCGATGGGGGAGGGGGGAGGGGGGAGGGGGGAGGGGGGAGGGGGAGAGGCGTGAGGGGAGGAAGGGGAAAGGGGAGGACAAGTACAGGGGATTGATTGATGGGGGAATGCCCGGATAAGAAGGTCCAAGCATGGGCGGATTGAAGGGTCTACAGGGAGATGGGGTAAAGGGGGAAGGGAGGAGGGAGGAGAGGATGTGTGGAGAGATATGTGCAACCCTGTGTGGTCACACACAGCTACACACGTGATGACATCTCCCACGAGTACCTGATTGGGGCCGGGGGGATGGGGAGAGTGGGAATGTGGGAGTGGGAGAATGGGGGGTGTGGGGATGGCTAGTCAAGTCAGCCCCCGACCGTTCCCACTCTTCCCTCCAAATTCCCACCAGCCCGGACAGTGGGACGGCTGCGAGCCACTGCAGAGCAGAGCAAACAACCCACACACACACACCACCTCACTCAACCCTCCTCGTTTCCCACTCTACCACACACTTTCGCCCCCACTTGCTCACCGGGAATGAATCCGAGCAAGCGCAGCGGCGCTAACATCGTCCCAGTGCTTGGGCTCCGCCCAGCATCCCCCACCCTCCACCTCCCCCCCAAAGGCCTCACCGGGACTGGATATGCGCGAGCGCAGTGGCGCTAACATCGTCCCAGTGCTTGGGCTCCTCCTTGCAGCGTTCAAAGAAATCGGCCATCCTCTCAGCAGCGAGGTCCCCGTGGTAGGGGTCGATGTGGAACCCACTCTCCCCGTCGTGAATCACCCAGTGCTTGGCTTCCCCACGCAGTTACTCACCCCTCCTCCCCCCTCAAACCCTTCTCCCGTTTCCTCCTTCCCCCTTTCCCTGCATCCCCCACCCTCCCCCACCCAATTCCTCACCGCGACTGAATCCGAGCGAGCGTGGCAGCGCTAACGTCATCCCAGTGCTTGGGGTCGTCGCGGCAGCGTTCGAAGAAAACCGCCATGCCCGCAGCAGCGAGGTGGCCATGGTAGGGGTCGATGTTGAAGCCGCTCTCCCCGTCGTGAGTCACCCAGTGCTTGGCTTTCTCCGCCAGCTACTCACCCCTCCCTCAAACCCCTCTCCCATTCCCCGTTCCGCCAATGCTTCCCCATCCTTCCCCTCCCCCTTCTCCTTCCCCCAGATTACTCACCGCGACTGAATCCGAGCAAGCGCGGCAGCACTGACGTCATCCCAGTGCTTGGGGTCGTCGCGGCAGCGTTCGAAGAAATCCGCCATGCGCGCAGCAGCGAGGTGGCCGTGGTACGGGTCGATGTGGAACCCGCTCTCGCCATCGTGAATCACCTCGCGCGGGCCCCCGTGGCACGTCGCGAACGTCGGCAGCCCGCACGTCATGGCCTCCACGACCGTCAGCCCGAACGCCTCGAAGAGCGCCGGCTGGAGGGGGTGGATGGTTGAGGTTAGAGAGAGAAGGGGAATGTCAGCAGCCCGCACGTCATGGCCTCTACTACTGTCAGCCCGAATGCCTCGAAGAGTGCGGGCTGGGAGCGGTGGGGGATTGAGGAGCGAGGGAGCGAGGGTAAGACAAGGGAAGGGAGAGAAGGACCATTCGAGGGAAGGGAGAGAACGTCGGCAGCCCGCACGTCATGGATTCTACGACCGTCAGCCCGAATGCCTCGAAGTGCTCTGTCTGGAAGATGAGGGGAGAATGCCGGCAACCCGCACGACATGGGCCCCACGACCCTCAGCCCGAACGACTCGAACAGAACCGGCTGGGGGTGTTGTGGGAGGAAGGGGAGGAGGAGGGAGTGAGAGAGAGAGAGAAGAGATGTGAATGGGACTAGAGAAGGTTAGGTCGTGTCACGATCTGGTGTGTCATTCGGGTCGCATCCCAAATCTCCATCGCTTATCCCACTCTCCTTCCTCTTCCCACGCTTTCCCCAACTTCCCCTCCTCCCAAGCCCCCCCTCTCCTCCTTCCCCGCTCCCCGCTTCCCCCCCCTCCCCCCCCGGCGCACCTGCACGAACGCGCCGCGGCTGTCCGCGACGACGCGGTACAGCTCGCCGTTCTTGACGCGGTTCGTCTGCGCGCGGATCCAGCGGAAACTGCCATCCAGCCCCGCGTCGCGCACGACGGCGTGCATCATCTTAATCTGCTCCGCCTCCTCGCGGTCGTGCGACTGCGCCGCGTCGAGCTTCCCGCCCACCACGACCAGGTTTACGAGCGCGCGCAGGCGCGAGTCCGCGCCGAACCAGCGCACGAGGCCCGTGAGGTTCTTCACGCGGTCGAGGCGCGCCATGGAGAAGAGAATCGGCTTGGACGGGTCCGATAGGTGGTACCTGGGGGAGGGGGGCGGGGGACGGGGGGAAAAACGGGGGACGGGGGACGGCGGACGGGGGACGGGGGACGGGGAACGGGGGGAGGAGAACGGAGGATCGGGTTGGGGAAAGGGGAGATACGGGGAGAGAGAGGGAGGAGGGAAGGTGGGGCGGCGGAATGACAGCAAGGCGTCATAGTAGGTATCCAAACCCGGGCTGGAGTGGAGATGAGTGATGAGAAACTGGTTGCAGTTCTGGAGTGCACAAGTTCTGCCGCACGCACCCAAACGAACCTCCCCTCCCCCTCCCAATCAATTCAGCCCCTTGTTGTTCCTCCCCCTCACCCACCCCCATCGCCCCGCCCCAAGTCCGCCTGCGCTCCCACGCCTGCTTCCTCCCGTCCCCCCCCGGCTCCGTGCGCGCACTCCGCCTGCTACCCGCCACCCGGCTTCGATTAGGATAAACAGGTGTACCATCCACACGCCCCTCCCATCACCCTTTTCCCAACACCCCGCTTCTCCCCCCCTCCCCCCCACCCCCCCACCCACTCACGCCTTCTCCTCGCCGTCCGGGTCACCAAATAGCAAATCGCGGATCCCCGCGTGCAGCGACGTGAGGCGGCGCTTGGCGTAGGAGAAGGGGAAGTACACGCCGTCATCGGCGGCAGGTGCCTGTCCCCACTTCCCACCTCCCGTTCATATCGCGTGCTCTCAAGACGCCCAATCCCGTCTCCCCCTCCAAACCTCCCCACAACCCTCCCCCCCTCTTCCGCTTTCCTTTTCCCCCCCCCCCCCCCCCCCGCCCACTCACGCTTTCTCTTCCCCGTCCGGCTCCCCGAACAGCAGGTCGCGGATCCCCGCGTGCAGCGACGTGAGGCGGCGCTTGGCGTCGGAGAAGGGGAAGTACACGCCGTCGTCGGCGCCGGGCGACACGATGTTGAACTTGGGGTCGTACACGTCCACGCCGTTCACCACGCGGTACAGCCCCGGCATCGTGAACGCCATGTGCGACTCGTACTGCCCGACTGTGTTGGAGGAGAGGCTGAGGGGGGGGAGAGGCGGGGAGGAATGGGGGGGGATTGCCGGGAATGGGGGGGGGAGAGGAGGGGATAGAGGGGAATGGGGGAGGGGGAGGAAATGGGGAGGGGGAAACGGGAGGAGGACAGGAGGAGGGGGAAACGGGAGGCGGAAAGCGGGAGGGGAAAGGGGAGGGAGAGGAAGGGAGGAGGCAGAGATGATGGTGAACTTGGGATCGAACACGTCCACTCCGTTCGTTCACCACGCGGTACAGCCCCGGCATCGTGAACGCCATGTGCGACTCGTACTGCCCCACCGTGTTGACGACAGGCTATGAGGGGGGAAGGGGGGTTAACGAGGCAGAGAGGGGGAGAATGGAGGAAAAACGGGGGATTGGAGGGGCAAGGGGATTTGAGAAGGCATCGTGAACGCCATGTGCGAGTCGTGCTGCCCCACCGTGTTGGACGACAGGCTGACGGGGCGGGGGGGAGCGGAAGGTTGTGCGGGGTAATGGGGGGGAGAGGAGGAGGAAAGTGAGGGGAGGGGGAGGGAAGGGGAGGAAGAAGGGGGAGCATCGTACTGCCCCGACTGTGCGCACGTGGAACAGTGACCCGATAACCCCTGCTGCTGCACTGCAGCACCTTCCCCCCCCCCCTCTGTCCACCCTCCCTCCCCCTCCCCACACACGCGCACACACGCACCTGCCGGCGATCTCCTGAAAAGTGGAGGTGACGATGAAGTCGGCGTGGTTCATGGCGATGAGGTCCGCCGTGAACTGGCAGCTGAAGTGGTACGCCGCGTCGTGCCGCGCCCAGAACAGGTCCGAGTCCGGGTACTTGGTCTTCTCCAACGCATGCGCTATGTTGCACTGCGCAATATGGGGGAGGGGGAGGGGGTGGAGCAGGGGGAGGGATGGGCGGAAACGGGGACGAGAGAGGAGAGGGAGTGTAAGCGGGGGATGTGAGAACAGGTCCGGGTCCGGATACTTGGTCTTCTCCAACGCGTGCGCTATGTTGCACTGGGGGGAGGGGGGGGGGGGGGGGGAAGAGGGAGAGTTGGGGAAGGAGGGGGTGAAACAGGGGTATGGTGTTTGAAGTACTTGGTCTTCTCATCTCCAGTGCTTGCACCACACAAAGCGTGGGTGGGGGTTCACCTGCGGAACTTGCCAAATTAGAAGGCGTTACCGGCATTTTTTAAAAGCATGGATTTAGACAGGTCAAAAGGACCAACCTGTGTAGTGGTTCTAATCGAGTTGACGAGGGACGGGGAACAGTTTGGTTGCCAGACTGGCCTGGCTGCTAGCCGAGTTGCTACCGCACCGCTCCAGCCCACGTCCCTGAAACACCACCTTCTCCCTTCAAGTCCATCCCCTATGGGAGCTTGGCCCATCTCCCACCCCATGACTCCTCCCCACTCGCGTGTGCAGGTGAGGGAGCAGAGCAGCACCTGTGTACCACGGTTTACCCCCCATGCACCTCCCATGCATGTATGCACAGCACGCGCGCACCTGAGTAACGCCCATCTGGTGTGAGAGCAGCGTGGCCACGAGGTTGCCGTCGCTGTAGTTGCCAATGATCAGCCCCGGCCGCCCCCCCAGCTCCACCTGCAGCTCCTTCGCCACGTCCTGCCATGCATGGAACACACAGAGGTGGGTGCGATGCGGGACACACACACATGGGGCGAGGGGCATAGTGCACGCTGCGTTGGTTTAACAGCCCTCCCAACCTCCTCGCCTCCCCTCCTCTCCCCTTCCCTCCCCTACCCCCTCCCCCTAAGCTGCCCCGTCCCAAGCGCGTACACCTGTGACCCTCTCCCTTCCCAAATGTCATAGCCTCCGTCCTATCAAACCCCAACCGGCTCCCCATACATACACACGCGCGCACCTCAGTGAACTGCTCGAGGTAGGGTCAGACGTTGAAGCGTGACAACACAGGGAAGCGTCGAGCTACCACCATCTTTCCCCTCCTTTCTCTCAGCTCTATCACGCCCCAACCCCCTCCCCTCCCCTCCCCTCCCCTGCACCCACGCGTGCACCTCGGTGAACTGCTCGACGTATGGCCAAATGTCGAAGCGTGAACTTCAGCACTATTTCTCCCCCTTTTTGAGAATTCTCAAAAACCTTTTCTCCCTGCTCTATCCGTCCCCAGTCCCCTCCCTTTCCCCCTACCTGCACCCAACCACCCACCCACTAACGCACCTCAGTGAACTGCTCGAGGTAGGGCCAGATGTCGAAGCGCGAGACCCAGTGGGAGACGATGCCGTGGGCGGTGCGGAAGGGCACGCGCAGGATGCGCGTGAACTGCGTCCCCGCCACCGTCTCTATGCGCTGGTTGCACGTCGTGCCGCGCGCCTCTGGTATCAGCCGCGTCACCTGCAGAGGGAGGAGGGGAGGGGGAAGGAGGGATAAAGGGGGTTGGCGTGGGTGGAGGAAGCTGGGGGGCGCTTGTACCACTTCTGAGAGGCACATGTTTTGAGAACTCCCAAAACAAGGGAAGGGTAATCGAGAGGTGCGGAGTGGGCGGGTGGGCCGAGTGAGATGTGTGAGAGTGTTAAGAGCTTCCTAGAAGAGTGAACTGCGTCCCCGCCACCGCCTCTATGCGCTAGTTGCACGTCGTGCCGCGCGCCTCTGGTATCAGCCGCGTCACCTGGGGGAGGAGAAGTAGGGAGAGAATTAGGGGGGGGGGTTGGGGAGAGATAGAGCGCTGCGTCACACTTTCCACACGCCCACACCTCCTACCTGTCCCCCACACCCCTATCCCCCCCCTCCAGCAACTCACGATGACGATGTTGGGGTGGAAGAGGCGGTCCAGCCCCTGCAGGTGCACCTGTGGATACACACAGCCCCACTCCTCTGTACACCTCTCCACCCCTTCCACCCCCACACCCCCAACTACACCCCCACCTCCCACTCACAATAACGATGTTGGGGTGGAAGAGGTGGTCCAGTCCCTGCAGGTGCACCTATGGGCGCACACCACCACGCAACCCCTTACAACGCTGCATACTCTCCCCCTTCCGCCCCCAGCGACTCACGATGACGATGTTGGGGTGGAAGAGGTGGTCCAGTCCCTGCAGGTGCAGCGAGCGCAGCATCTCCTTCTCCACCGCGCGCACCTGGTCCAAAATGTACACCACCTGCCCGCCCGTGTCGGGCAGCCCCAAAACGTTCGCCTGCCCGAAGTACCCGTGCGGCGACAGGATCACCACGTCGAATATCATGGGCAGCCGCCCGAGAAACTTCTCCAGGGTGTCCGCGTCTGGGGCCTGGTGGTTGGTTAATTGGGGGGCCGGGATGGGGGAAGCAAAGGGAGTGGTGGGTGGGGAAGTAAGAGGGGAGTCCACTTTCGAGGCGCCTCAAGCCCCGAGAAACTTCTCCAGGGTGACCGAATCTGGGGCCTGGTGGTTGGTGGGGTGGGGAGGGAGGGGAACAATGGGAATGGTAGGGGGAGAGAGGGGGTTCGGTAGGGGAAGTGTCTACTTTTGAGGCGCCTCAAAAGTGGCCGCCCGAGAAACTTCTGGTGTAGGCATCTGGGGCCTGGCGGTTCGTGGGTGTGGGGGCGGGACGGCGAAGGCTTTTGACTTTTGAGGCGCCTCAAAAGTTGTGGGTGTGGGGGCGGGACGGCGAAGGCTTTTGACTTTTGAGGCGCCTCAAAAGTTGTGGGTGTGGGGCCGGGACGGCGAAGGTTTTTGACTTTTGAGGCGCCTCAAAAGTTGTGGGTGTGGGGGCGGGACGGCGAAGGCTTTTGACTTTTGAGGCGCCTCAAAAGTTGTGGGTGTGGGGGCGGGACGGCGAAGGCTTTTGACTTTTGAGGCGCCTCAAAAGTTGTGGGTGTGGGGGCGGGACGGCGAAGGCTTTTGAAGCGCCGCCAACCCCGAGGAACTTCTCCAGGGTGTTTGCGTCTGGGGGAAGGGAGGGGGTAGGTGGGGAAGAAAGGGTGGAGGAAGGGGGGTGGTGGGGGAAGAGAGGGGGTTCGGTGGGGAGGGGAGGGAAAGTGGTTTGGGGAAACGAGGAGGGGATGACAGGAGGTGGTGTCGGGGAGGAGAAGTCATGTACTCTTGTGAGATGATTGCAGGATTCTAACCACAACAAACCAACGGGGAGGAGAGGAGATGTGATCCCTCCCACTCTTACAGAAACAGGGTGAGGCAAGACGACAGCACAGCAAGAGAAATGAATTATAAGGGGAGGCGGAATTGGTGGGGACTGGGGGGGAGGGAGAGGAGGGGGGGGGGGTGGGGGGGGGGGGTGTTGGGTGACTGTGTCTGGTGCGTCGCCTGTGGAGATACAGTGACAGCAGTGCATGCGGCAGAAGGCTAATGCAGCAGTGCAGCGACGCAGCGAAGCAGTGGTGCGGTGAGGCTGGAGGCCGTGTTCAAAGGGGGGCAGGGAGGGGCAGGGCGGGGCAGGGAGGGGCAGGGAGGGGCAAGGAGGCATGAGCAAGGGAGGCACCTGGAAGATGTCGAGCAGCAGGTTGATGGTCTCTGAGATGCGCCCCACCGTGTTGCCCCATCCCAACTCCAGCCCTAGGTCCCGCAGCCTGTGAAAGGGGCGGTGAGAGGGTGCAGGGTCGAAGGTGAATGGACGATGGAGAGGGACGATTATTCAGGTGTGAAGGCAGGAGATGGGCATGAGAAGAGAATGCAAGTCATGTGGGGCATGCGGGGCATGCGGGGCATGTGGGGCATGTGGAGCATGTGCCACGTGTCCCTTAAGTAAATGCCACGTGTCTCACCTCTCTGCCACGCGTCCAACAGGTGTCTCATCATCGTACGACATCAGCAGGTCCTCGGCACGCGTCAGCGCGCGTTTCAGCTGCTCACGTGTCTCAATCTGCTGACTCAGCATCAGCGGCTGGGGGAAGAGACATGTAGAAGTACACATATATCACCATAATAACAAAAAAGCATGGGATTAAATGGGAAACGACAAGCAGGATTGCACAAACACAGAACTTTCAGCCATGCAAGACCCCTAATACCCGTAACACAGAACTTTCACTCTCCCCCTAACCCCCATCCAACCCCAACCCCTCAATCCCAATCCCACATGAATGCTTTTTGACAATGTGCTCATGTCTGGAGGTACACCTACAACGGGCAATGACGCACAGCTTATCTACCCATGTCCCCCTACTCAGACCCTCCAAAAAAGGCCGTAAACCCTGCACAAACCCCGCAACCCTCGCCCCTATCCCCCCTCTCCCTCTCACTTTCCCCTCCCCTTACCCCCACCTGGCCGCGGTAGCTGTGGAGGCGCAGGAAGACAACAAGCGGTTGGATGGAGCCCTGATGGCTGGCGAAGATGCGCCACCTTCCACCTCATGCGCATCCCCCAACCCCCTTAGAACCTCCTTGACCCCGCGCACACCTTCCAAACCCCTCCGTACCCCCTCATGCCCTTCTGCACATGCTCGCACCCACCTGGCCGCGGTAGCTGTGGAGGCGCAGGAAGTCAATGAGCGGCTGGATGGAGCCCTGCTGGCTGGCAAAATGGTCCCAACCAACCCCTTAGAAACCCCCCAAACCCCTCCAACTCCCCCCAAACTCCCCATTCCCCTTTCCACCCACACCCACACCCATGCACCTGGCCGCGGTAGCTATGGAAGTCAAAGAGCGGCTGAATGGAGCCCTGCTGGCTCGCGAAGATGCACCACCTTCTACCCCCACAGAACCCCTTCAACCCCGCACAAACCCTCTAAACCCCGCCGTACGCCTCTGTACCCCCCGTCCCCCACAAATCACCTGGCCGCGGTAGCTGTGGAGGCGCAGGAAGTCAACGAGCGGCTGGATGGAGCCCTGCTGGCTGGCGAAGATGCGCGAGGACAGGTAGCGGTTGAGGAAGTGCACGCCGTGCCCGATGGACCGCGGCTGCGTCAGCCGCGGGAAGGATGCGTTGAACGGGCCAAAGTCCAGCTCTAGCACGTAGTACGGGTTGTCACTGGCTGGGCCGCTGATAGGGGTGTGGTGGGAGAGGGGGAAGGGAGAGAGGGTGGGGTGCGATGAGTTGCAGCTGGAAATGATTCGTTGAACGGGCCGACGTCCAGCTCTAGCACATAATACGGGTTGTCACTGGCTGGGCCTCTGGGCGGCGTGGTAGAAATTCGGAGGGAAGTGGGAGGGAAGGGGGAACCGGGTGAATTGAGGTGGGAAGGATGCGTTGAACGGCCCGAGTCTAGCTCTAGCGCGTGGAACGGGTGGTTGCTGGCTGGGCCTCTGAGAGCGGTGAGATAGGGATCGAAGGAGGATAGAAGGGAAAGTGTGATGCTTTGAACGGCACATAGTTCAGCTTTAGCTCACAGTACAGGTTGTCACTTATCGGGGCCCTAATGCTGCGTTGAAAATCAGGTACCCGGAGGGGGGGTGCGCCTCTGTGTTTTCTTTATGTAGAAATAGAGTACGGTACCGTACTATGGTTATTCTCCACGAATGATTCCTTTCCTCATCCAGAGAGGCGCTGCGGCTGAGTCAAGTGTGTTGAAAGGAGCACGGAGTGACATCCACGTGTCTAAGAACAAGTGGCGGCTGAACAAATCCAAGCGACCAAGAGAGAAGCAGGCGGACAGAGAGACAGAGAGGCAGAGAGAGACACACAGACAGATGGACAGACGCACCCGTTGGAGGAAACAAGGAGCCCTTTGAAGGCGAGGTACTCGGGCACGGTCATGGCCTGCACCAGCACCTCCTCCGCGTTGACTTTTAAGGTTGACTCAACAGACGGAGGGACGGACAGAGAGACAGACAGACAGGCAGACGCACCCGTTGGAGGAAACAAGAAGCTCTTTGAAAGCAAGGTACTCGGGCACGGTCATGGCCTGCACCAGCACCTCCTCCGCGTTGATCTTCACGTGCTGCCACTCGCCCGGCCGCACGCGCACCGCCAGCGCCACCCACGGGGACACCACCACCGCCTCCTGCGACGCCAGAAGCAGCTTCCCGAACGGGCTGTCTTCCAGACTCTCCTCCCCCTCCCCCTCCCCCTCCTCGCCCCCATCCACCCCGTCGATTTTGTCCGCCGAGGCCCCTGCTGCTGCCGCTTCTCCCGTGCCTGCGCCTGCTTTTCTCCCCGCCGCCGCCCTCCGCCCCGCCTCCAGGTCCGCGGAACCCACTCTCCGCACTGCTTCTACCGTGCCTTCCAGGACCTTGGCGGTTTCCGCGTCCGCGGGGATCAGCGCGCCCGCTGCTCCGCCCGCTGCTCCCCCCGCGGCTCCCCACGTGGCGGCTGTGACAATCGAGGCGGGCGAGCGCGGGGACGCGGCTGTGCGCGGGGAGAGCGGGGGGGTGGCGTGCGGCCGACGGCGCGCGGCGCTGGCTGCGCGCAGCTGGTCGATGAGCTGATGGGGGAGAAGAATGCCGTTTCCGCACTTCAGACAGCTGCGGGATGAAGGGAAGGAAGGGCAACGGGGGAAGGGGAATTATTCAAACGGTGTTTTAAAAGGGAGGAGTGCAACCAGAGGTAGAGTAGCGGACCAAGAGGATTTGCGAAAGAATAAAATGAGAACCTACTTTGCCTCTCTCTCCAAGAATCCAGTTTTTTTTAACGAACAAAGGGTATGATGCCACCTGGCATAGTGACCGTTGTCACATGTCGCGACCCGGCGCTCGCACGTACCGGGACAGAGTATCAACAATCTCGTTGCGGTTCTCCAGCAAGCAGTTCGCCATGCGCTCCGTCACGCGACTCGGCTGCCGAAACAGCCGCGCCGGCTTGCGCGCGCCTCCCGCACTAGTAGTAGTAGTGGTACTAGCGGCGGGCGCAGCAGGATGATGATCCGCGGGAGGGTTCCCGTTGGATATGACTGCAGGTGCAGTCTTGGCGGAATCCATGTCTCGAGATGTGTGTGCGCGCCACTGGAGATGCGTGACGTATGGATTCTCGAGAACCGATCAAACGCGTGCTGCTTTCTTTCTAAGCCGGTTGGTACCTTTATTTCACCGTATCAAGAGAGACCGATGTCACGATAATAAGAGGTCTACTAAGGTCTAAGTCACGAGTGTGAACCGGCACGAGAGGCCACTAACACTACTCGTAGTAGTAGGCAGAAAAGTGTCCTGAGATTCGGTATGATTAGTCGTAACATACATGACAGCAGCTGTGCTCAAGGGCATGAAATCTTCCGAGGGCATTAAAGGCTAGCGAGGCCCAGAGAGCGAGCGGATCGGGAGGCGAAATATTTTCCTTGCTGTACACGCTCGCGAGGATCTGACGTGGGAAGATTCCGTGCGAGGAACTCTTCTCAAGCGTCCTAACACAGCGGCGACGACAGCTCGGACGAAGACCGCACGCGTCGGCCCGAAAGGACGTATCTCGTGTGTTTCCAGGAAAAGCTGCAGGTCGGTGCCCCTTTACTTCGACGAGCCTTTAGATAGCTAGCGGCTTCAAGCAAGGTGCGACGGTCGGTTTGCACCAGAGAACTGCGTGGCAGGGCACGGCTTCGTTTCTCGAGGTGGTGTGGTGGGAATCCACAGCTTTCCTCCCATGCATGGTGGGCGGGGTGGGGTTGGAGTGGGGCTCGTTGACACCCAGAATTGGAACACTGCTCCGAAATGTGTGAAATGGTAATGTCCTGGTTTGGTTGTATTATTTTCCTACCGACTTGAGCCTCTAAACACAGTGAGGGTGAACCGGTGTCACGGAAAAGCATTCTCAATCTTCTAAAAATGGGATACTTGCTGCATGCAACTTTGAAGAGGGGAATGATATACCAAACACTTTTAGAAGTCTAAATTGTCATAACCCCGTCCTTTGAGGGCATTGGCCTATTTGGGGCGTTTACCTGCAGGCTCTTCAGGGAAAAAAAAAAGTGGGTTCCTAGTCATTGGGGCCGCGCCGCTAATGTCGAGAAAATGTGCAATTTCACGCCACGGCAATTGTTCAATGCTGACGAAGCTGCCGACAATGCTGGCATGAGTATATACCAGCCTGGCATTACGTGGAAAAACTCATGACTGACACGACAGGTACTGTGGGGCCGTTGTGAGCTGGCATTTTCTGAAGTTGATCATGTAACAAATCTTCTTTGAAAATGTTCACACATGCGATAACTACTCCGCAGCAAAAAATCCTCAACGTTATCGTGAAGCACTCAATAGCGATTATCGCACCCAAACATTTCTTCTCCCCTCCTCCCAAGCTCTTGAATAGCCGCAATCACCAATAACGGTAGGTCGCCCCTAAACCCCCGCATTGTGCGCCCATACATTCGCTTTCACCAATAATTCACCTGTCGCCGTGATCACCGCCAGTCGGCTCGCCAGCAACCTTTGTATAGTCCCGCGATGTGAACGCCCCAAACCGCAATCGCCGCATCGCCCTGGTTTAATTCGGCTGTGTTGCGTTCAAAGGTCCCTCGACGACGCAAAAACGATTATTCTCAAACCAGACATCTCTTGTGTTGAAAATAGGACTCAAAGACGCGCTGGAACGAAAATTTATTGCAGAAGAGGGACAGGGGGAATTTTAAGCATTTATGACTGGGAATACAGGGTCGAATCAGCAAATCCCAGCTTCCGCAGGCCCAGCGGAGGCCGCAGAGTGCGGGAATGTGGCGGAAGATATTAGAGTCGAGGAGGCAGGCGCAGCAGGGACAGTGAAAACGGCGGGCGACGAGGAAAAACCTTCCCTGTGTGTCGCAGATGCGGCGGAAGCCTCGCCGCCAGCGGCGGAGACCGCCACAGCGGCAGGGGGAGAGAGAGCGGCGGCGCAGGGGGAGGCGGAGATTGCGGCGGTACCGGCGCCGTTGCTGCCTGCTAAGCGGTCTCGGGAGGATGGGGACGAGGGCGCTGCTGCTGCTGCGGTTGCCGTGGGTAGCGGTAGCGCAGCGCATGGCGGTGATCGCGGTACAGCTGAGGCGCGAGTTCCGGCAGAAAAGGCGGGAGGGGCGGCTGCGGCGGAGGAGAAGACGGGATCGCAGGAGGGGATTGGTGGTCAGGGAAAAAAGAAAAAGGCACGGTACGGAGATGGGAATCGGTGATGGAACAGAGGCAGCGAATGGGGAATTGCGGAATGGAGAACGCGAAATGGGAATCGGGAAATGGGGCGTGGAACGCGGGGAATGGGGAGTGTGGATCGAATGTTGCATGCTAAGTTTACAATGTTTTCCCCTTCCTCCACAGTGTCCTGTCATCCCCCTTCCCCCCGCCCCAGTGTCCCCCGTCCGAATTTTGCGGCTTCCCCTTACCACCCAACCCCCCACACCGCACCCCACCGCACCCCAACCGTCCCCAGGCGGCGGCGCGTGCAGTGGGACGAGGGCAACCTGGCGTACTGGGAGGAGCACCGCACGCCGCGGCAGCGCATCGACGAGCCCAAGACGCCCTTCCACTCCCTGGGGCCCGACTCCGAGGAAGGTGCGCGCGCTCCGCGGGCGCGGGGAGGGGGGGAGGGGGAGTGGCAGAGAGGAACGGGTATGAGGGGCGTGGATTAGTGGATGGGAGGGGACTTTAGAGGCGACTTGAAAGTCAACCCACGGCAGCGCATCGACGAGCCCAAGACGCCCTTCCACTCCCTGGGGCCCGACTCCGAGGAAGGTGCGCGCGCTCCGCGGACGCGGGGAGGGGGGGAGGGAATCGGGCGAGGGGAGGATGGGGGAAGGAAGCGGAGGAGAGGAAGGGGAGGGGAGTGGCGGAGGGGAGTGCTTAGGAGGGAAGTGACGGAGGGGGGCAAGTGAGAAGATGATTGGCAAGAGGATTAAAGAAGAAGGCAATGATAATTGTGTGTCGGTCTCCTATCCTCGCTTCAGTTCCATTGTTTCTCCCCTTCCGCCCACTCCCCTCTCCGTCACTTCCTCACCCAGAGCACCTTCCTGGAAGCAGCACGGCAGGTGCAGCCACAGCAGGCGCAGGAACCGCAGGAGGGTCAGGAGCAGCAAGAGTGGGAGGGAGCAGTCGAGTGAGCGAGTGGACGTCATCAGAGGACGAAGGGGATCACTCTGAGTTTGAACGTACGTTGACCAGAACGGACAAGCAAGCCAGCATACTCTCTCAATGAACAGAGTTGCAAAGTTGTCGTTTTCGAATCTCAGTTGGGTGACTATCAGCAAATAGCTGGTCGACCAAGTAACACCCAATGCACCAACCATATGTCTCACGGCATGGCATGGCATGGCACGGTATGGCATGGCATGGCACGGTATGGCATGGCATGGCATGACACCTTCGCGCTGGGCAGGATGGATGGAGGAGCAAGGCCACGCATACAAAGACCCAGCAACTCTCGCTGCTGCTGTTGCTGCCGGCACTGCTCCAGCCTCCTTACTTGGTACATGCCCCTGGCCCTCTTCACCCCTGATCCTCTTCAGTCTTGCCCTTGACTCTTTCTGTCAGCCCAAGTATCCTCCCTAGGCTGACATTCTCGTCCGGAATCCGCAAAGTTCCCCCTTTTCTTTCTACTGCCATCCTTCTAAGCCCAATCCCCCCTGTTACCTGCCCCGTTCCTCCCTCCCTCTCCACCAGAAGCGAACATATACTACAGCACAGGGCGGGACAAGGGGAAGGGCAAGGAGCCAATGGGGAGTGTGGCACAGAGCTTCAGGGAGCACAGGAAGCGACACTATGACGAGTTCAAGAAGATGAAGCTGCTGCAGGCAGAGAGGGCAGAGGCAGGGGAGGATGCAGGGGACGATGGGAATGGGCTTGCGCAACAGGAGGGGGAACCTGGTGGTGCCGATCCTGCTGCTGCGGCTACTGCTGCTAATGGTGACGGTGGTGGTGAGGTTACAGATCAACGCACTGGTGATACTGCTGAGGTTGCTGCTGATGCTGGTGATGATGTGGCTGCTGGCAATGAGGCGACTCAAGGTATGGAAGAGGTTGAAGCTGTCCAAGAAAGCAAAGTGGATCCGGGGGTGGAAAAGACAGGTTGCTGACTCTCCAGTTATCAATATGCTGCTCCCGCACATAGGTATCATTACCGTGTTGCGACTAGCATTACCGTATCTTGACTAACGTTCTTTGTCTAAATTTTTGAAATATTGCCTTGCCATTTCATTAGTCCTTACACTTTCATCCCCTTACTGTATCATCGTGGCAGAACACGAACACCTCACCTGACCAATCGTTGGAAGCCCGGAAGCGGGCTATATTTCCCGCGCATGCGGCGTCAGACAGACCTCTCGCCATCTTTCTTTTGCGGCACGATGACGTGCCATGCCAAAATTTGCGTCTTCCCATCTCCTTGGGAACTGCCCTTTTCTACTGTACTGTACACGATGAAATCCAGGTCGTTGACGGCTACCCGTCACCTCAGCTTGACAAGCCATTGACGTCTCACCATGTTCCCTGGCTGGTTAATTGGCCTTGTCTGGCAAACGGTCCGTCAGTGTTTTGTCTGCGGCCTGTCTGTTCGACGCTCCGTATTCCTCAATCCAGTGCATCGGCCATGGGGTCGTTACCACCAAATTACTGATTTATGCAGATTCTTCCAGCAGCAATAATCCAGTCCAGCAGTCCTCTAGATGCCATTTTAGAGTCGGGCGCGGGGCAGCACGAGCCGAGAACGCTTATGTGTTGTGCACGAACCCACGCTTCCGATCCTTATTCAGTGAACCGCCGTGTACGTAATCGTCTTGGTTAGGGGGAGCGTGAAGCAGTGCAGCACTGGCGCTGCACCCCTGGCCTTGAATTTACTCATTTGTCACCCAAAGACTCCATTGGTTGGAGGTACTTCTCGGCAAATACGGATCAGCTACTTTCCGAACAACAACAGCACGTTCACGAATCAACGCTTGATCTCGCAGCTTCAGCCGTTGCGGGGAGCACTTGTCACGCATCTCCACAACAGAACGAAGTAGCCGTACGGAACACAATTCAATCTGAAACCGCTACGCTTTCTGTCGATCTCCTAAACAGCCACCAGTAACTTCCCTCCGCCACCTCCTGGTTCGACCGTCTTACCGCATCAGCCAGCGTGATCAGCCAAAATGTCATCGGACGCGTCGAATCCGTCGCAGTACGTGAAGCTGAAGAAGGAGTACATCACGGACCAACCAGACACGGAGCCTGGCGAGCTCAGCCAACCCGTGGAGGTTCCTCAGGTACGCCATGATCTAAGCGCTTTTCACAGGCGCCTCAATATCGTTTACGGGGTGGGATCTTAGGAGGGTCCGATCTCCGCTCGTGTGTGCTGCTAATGCTCATGAATCCATGAAGGTAATTCAAGGTCTCTCGAATGACCGTTGAAAGGGAACACACGTGGCTGGTGATCGTAATAGCACACGTATGCGTCTGGGTCACATGCACGCACGGGATGATTTGGTTGGTAGATTCTGACCATTCTGTAAGGCTATGCGATGATGTAGATTGCTCAGCAAAAAAACTGTTCTTTTCCCATCTCGCATCTCCACCTAACTTGTACGTCCATTCGCCGTCCGATCCCCTTTCCTCCTCTCATCACTACAGCTGGATGTGCAGCGGTGCTTCGAATGCGGCCAAATCCTGCCGCAGTCGTACGAGCCGCCGCAGGACGAGCCGTGGAGCACGGGCATCTTCGCGTGCTTCAAGGATCAACGCAGCTGTACGTACCATGCCGTGCGCTTTGATTTCGTCCCGTGACGTTGGCGTCCATGCGACATGCGCATTCCTCCTTCCCAGGTATCATGCTGATCTGTGTCTCTGTGACGCCCTGAGATCTACCGTTGCCGCCATTCCCGCACCCCTTATCCCCTGTCCTCGTCACATGAGGTTTCATCGTCTTCGAACCTCTCCTGCCCACGTGCTCCCACGCACCTTACACTGCCCACGAGCCCCACGCACCCCACGCACCCCACGCACCCTGCGCAACCCGCGCAACCCGCGCATCCCACGCGCCCCACGCGCCCCACGCTCCGCACGCACCCCACGCTTCCACACCAGGCATCCAAGGTTTGTTCTGCCCGTGCGTGCTCTTCGGCAAGAACGTGGAGGCGCTGCGCGACGACATCCCGTGGTCGGCGGCGTGCGCGTGCCACGTGCTGTGCATCGAGGGCGGCGTGGCGCTGGGGTCGGCGCTGCTGTGCTGCCCCGCGTACATCACGGTGGACCCACAGACGCTCTTCCTGCTGGGCGAAACGCTCTTCTTCTGCTGGTGGATGTGCGGCATCTACACGGGGCTGTTTCGACAGGAGCTGCAGAAGAAATACCACCTCAAGGTGTGTGGGGTCGCGGGCAAGGGCGGGAAGGGGGGGGAAAGGGGGGGATGGGGGGGGGGGAGGGGAAAGAGGAGTGGAGAAGGAAGGGGAGAGGCGTGGTGGAAAAGATGGGCTTGGTTTGGAAGTTGAGAGGGTAGGAATGGGAGGGAAAAGGGCTGTGGGGTATGACTGTGTAAAGTGTGGTGGACAAGGGTGGTTAGAGGAATGGACAGTGGAGAACTAGGTTGACTGAACAAGTAGTAACAGAGGTTATCAAACCATGATGCATACACAAGAAGGGGAATCTAATGAAGAATCTTGATGACAGTTGAATGATGCAATCTGGGCCCTTTCACTGACCTGCCACCATTGTGACCTCGGTCCTGTGCCCTCGTGTTCCACCCTCTGGACCCATCTCAGGACCCACTTGTACATTTGATTCCCAGCTTTCCTACCTCGGTCATCTTTCTCAACTGTTCACCTCTCGTTTTCTTGCATCCTCCCATCCCTCTCAACCCCGGCCTTCCCTGCTTTTCTCCTCTTACCCCGTCTCATTCCCGCTCGTCTCCTCTTACCCCGTCTCATCCCCTCTCTTCTTCTCTTACCCTGTCTCATCCCCTCTCATCGCCCCTCATTCCCTCCCATTCGCTCAGATCCCTCACATCCCCTCAAACCCCCTCCCTCTCGCCATCTTGCTGCCCCCGCCCACCTCCTCTTCGCACTCCCAGGACCCCCACCCACACTCTCACCTCCCTCGTTCCTCCCCTCTATCCCCGCCCGTTCACCCCTTTTTGACCAACCAGAACGCGCCATGCGACCCGTGCTGCGTGCACTGCATCCTGCACCCGTGTGCGCTGTGCCAGGAGCACAGGGAGATGGTGATTCGCCTGCCAGTGCTTGACGAGGGTGTCAGCCTCAACCCACCACCGCAGCAGGAAATGGCTGCTGTGGGTGGTGATGCTGCTGCTGCAGCACCCAATGGGTCAGGGGAGGGTGTCAGGGAAAGCTAACAGCAGGTGCTAGGGAGAAACGAACAAGGGGGATGGAATTTGGAGGAGAATACTGGGATTTGGAAGATGGGATGGGAGCCTGGGCGCTTGGTGATTGTTGAACATCGTGTAGGCACGTGTACACTAGTGCAGATCGTGTTGGCGGAGTTTTATGGCACAATCATTATTCATCAGACTACACTGGGTTGCATAGTTGTGTGAATGCATGGCCAGATAATCTCCTCAAATGAATGCTTGCTTCTTCATGTAATAATACCAATTGCTGATTGTGCTATGGTATAAATAGTGGATACATGGACACTAACAATGGAAGGTAACCTGCAGTGGAGGGTAATGCAACCAGGTCCACACTGCAGTCATCTACAGTTACGGTGAGATGCACCTCATGTTGTGGCATGCGATGGCAGCAGAACAGTTGCAGCAGAGCAGGACAGAAACATATGGTAAGCATTCAATGCCATTTTAGGCCACCACCTGTGGTGGTTAGACACATTTGTCAAATGTTGTAGCCTATAGTGAGGTTTGTCTTAGGGGGTACAAAACTTAGGGTTAGCTATATGTACCCCAACCTGTCAAATGATATATATGTGTGATACATATTGGTAGGCTGTAGTGGGGTAGATGTTATAGGGGATAACCCCTTAGGGTTTTTCCTACTTGTAAAATTTCTCTCGATAGTCAACTCACCTTGCCTAGCTATCTCAACATGGCATCTAGAGCAATGGTCCTAAGGACCTAAGATTGGGGCCCACCTACTCATGAGTTACTTTCCCTACAGCTATACCTACCTTGCCTGCTGCCCGCGCGCGCCTCGGCTGCATGCGCGCGTGCATTTTTTTTTTAGCGCGCCCCGCTGCCTTAGCCGCCCGCGTGCTCGCTGCTGTCGCGCGCAGCTCGTCACCGCGCGCAGCCCGCCGCCACGCGCGACCCGCCGCCGCGTGCAGCCAGTAGCCACGCGCAGCCCGCAGCCACGCGCAGCCCGTCGCCGCGCGCAGCCCGCAGCCGCACGCAGCCCGTCGCCGCGCGCAGCCCGCAGCCGCACGCAGCCCGTCGCCGCGCACAGCCAGCTGCCACGCACAGCCCGCAGCCGCGCGCAGCCCGCTGCCGCGCGCAGCCCGCAGCAGCGCGTGCCCTGCCCTGCCTGTGCGCCACTGCCTCGACCTGAGCGCTTAGCCGCCCGTGAGTCGTGCGCTTACCTGCCTTACGCGCGGCCTATCACAGAACTGCGTGCTTCCTTACCTGCTACAGTTGCCTGCTGCCTGAGCCTGCTGCCTGAACCTGCAGTCTTTGCCTGCTGCCTGAGCCTGCTGCCTGAGCCTGCTGCCTGAGCCTGCTGCCTGAGCCTGCTGCCTGAGCCTGCTACCTGAGCCTGCTGCCTGAGCCTGCTGCCTGAGCCTGCTACTTTTGCCTGCGCTACAACCATGGCGACCCTTACTGTTCTCGCCTTTGAGCCTGACGGCCGCCCCATCGAGTTTGACACCTGGCTTAGTGACCTGCGCCTTTACCTTATGACTGACGTCGCAGACGGAGTGTCCCTGCTAGCCTATGTGACCGGCACTGTCCCTACTCCCGCTGAGACTGCTCCTGCCCCTGAACGAGCACAGTGGGAGCTCCGCGATGCTGTCGCGCGCCTTGTTATTCGCAATCACCTACCGATCTCTGAGCGCGCGCATTTCAACCAGCTTCAGACTGCTAAGACGCTGTATGATGCTGTCGTTGCCCGCTATTCCGCCCCGACCACAGCCACCGTTGGTAGTCTCATCCTGCCTTACCTGTTCCCAGACTTAGCCTCGTTTCACACTGCTGCCGACCTTATCACTCACCTCCGCGCTAGTGACGCCCGCTTTCGAGCCGCTCTTACCAAAGAGTTCCTCGCCACGAACACCCCCCCGCTGTACTTCACCCTCTACATCCTCGTCACCCGCCTCCCTGACACTCTTCGCTCTGTCAGGGATTACTTCCTTGCCAAGGATCCTCCAACTATCACTCTGGACGACTTCGAGCAGCAGCTGGTCGCAGCAGAGAAGAACATCCTCGCTGTCGGTGCTGCTCGTGGCACTCCCCGCACTCCCCTCTTTGAGGGGTGCTCCCCCTCCCCTCTTGACCCCTCCTACGCCTCTGCTGCTACTGCTGTCGACTTCCTCGGTGCGGAGAAGGTCGCAGCGGCTTCCGCTCCTGGTGGGAAGCGTGGTGGTGGCAGGGGCGGCAAGGGTGGCAGGGGTGGCGGAGGTGGCGGTGGAGGGAGCGGTGGTGGAGGCGGCGGGGGTGGTGGAGGTGGTGGGGGTGGCCGTGGGGGTGGAGGCGGTGGGTGGGGTGGCGGCAGGACCGGGAGCGGTGGAGGCGGCGGCGGCGGTGGTGGGGGAGGAGGCAGCGGCAGTGGCGGTGGAGGTGGGAGTGGGGGTGGATCTGGCCAGAAGGGTGGCCAGCAGCAGCAGCAGCAGCAACAACAGCCACAGCAACAGCAGCAGCTTCCTCCCCTCACCTCCCAGCAGCTCAATGACTGGTATGCTGGGCGTGGGGCGTCTCGGGGTTCTGACCGCTGCCCCTATGTCATTCGTACCGGCCCCCGCAAGGGTCGCCCCTGCAACGGTTTTCACACTGAGTATCGTTGTTTTGCTAGGCTTAGTGACGCCTGGCGTACTAAGTATCCTGATGCTACTGAGTTCCCCAACTTGGCAGAGCTGCTTAGGCGTGATGTGCCTATCTTTGATCTGGACTATGATGTTATTCTTGCTGCCATGTATGCATTGACTGTTAGTGCTGAGGGTGACTGCTACTTGTGTGTGCCGCCTGACCCCGGTATAAGGACTGCAGCCCTAGGTGCTAGTGAGTCTGCTCCCCTTGGTACTGAGTCGGCTCAGGCCTTGCACACGTTTACACTTGACTCTGGTGCTTCCCGCTGTTTCTTTCGTGATAGCACCACCGTCACTCCGCTCCCTGCACCTGTCCCTGTCTCCCTGGCTGACCCCTCTGGGGGCCCAGTGCTTGCACGCGGCACGACTGTGCTCCCGTGCCCGGCGGTCCCGTCTGGTGAGCTGTCAGGTCTCCTCGTTCCCTCGTTCTCTACGAACCTGGTGAGCAACGCCGTCCTCCAGGATCACTGGGTTGACACCTGGACTCCTGGAGGGCAGCGTGTGGCGATCTGTACGTGCTCCAAGACTGGCCGCCACCTGGCCACGTTCACTCGTGAGCCGGGGTCCAGTCTGTACACCCTCACCACTGTTTCACGCTCCGCTCCTTTGTCTCCACAGCTGTACGCGTCTGCTCAGGTAGCTACCCAGTGTGAGTGCCGGCGCCTGTCGCACGACACGCTCCTGTGGCACCACCGCCTTGGTCACCCCTCCCTGCCTCGCCTTCGTAGCATGCACTCTCGCTCTCTGGTCTCTGGGCTTCCCAGGTCTCTGCCTGCCCTCCCTCCCTCGCCTGCGCCGCCCTGCATTCCCTGCGTCGAGGGGCGGCAGCGCGCCGCTCCTCACTCCTCCTCGTTTCCTCCCACAGAGGCTCCCCTGCAGACGCTTCACCTGGACGTGTGGGGCCCAGCCCGCGTCCAGGGACAGGGCCGTGAGCGGTACTTTCTGCTGGTTGTCGACGACTTCACGCGTTACACCACGGTCTTCCCCTTGCGCAGCAAGGGAGACGTCCCTGCTGTTTTGATCCCCTGGATCCGCGCTGTGCGTCTCCAGCTCCGCGAGCGGTTCGAGCGGGACTTTCCTGTCCTGCGTCTGCACTCTGACAGAGGTGGTGAGTTCTCCTCTGACCTCTTGGCAGCCTTCTGTGCGGAGCACGGCATCACCCAGTCGTTCACGCTTCCGGCCTCTCCGCAGCAGAATGGGGTTGCTGAGCGCCGCATTGGCTTAGTCATGGAGGTCGCTCGTACCTCCATGATCCATGCGGCGGCTCCCCATTTTCTGTGGCCGTTCGCGGTCCGGTACGCCGCGCATCAGCTCAACCTCTGGCCCCGTGTCTCCTTGCCGGAGACCTCGCCCACACTGCTGTGGACGGGGGAGGTTGGCGATGCGTCGCGTTTCCGGGTCTGGGGTGCTCGTGCCTTTGTCCGCGATCTCACCGCGGACAAGCTCTCTGCTCGCGCCATTCCCTGCGTCTTCCTTGGTTTTCCTCCTGACGCGCCTGGCTGGCAGTTTTACGACCCCACCTCGCGCCGTGTCTTTGCGTCTCAAGACGTCACCTTTGACGAGTCTGTTCCCTTCTACCGTCTCTTTCCCTACCGCACTGTCTCTCGCCCCCCCCCGCCGCTCTTTCTCGCTCCAGGTCCTCCCCAGGTAGACCCCCTCCCCGCGCCAGGTCCTGCTCCTTCAGGTGTTTCTCAGGTAGACCCTCCGGTACCTGCGCCTGTTGAGGTCACTGGTGACTCAGGTCCTGCTGGAGGTGGTCCTGCTCGGGGTGCTGTCTCTGGGGGTGCTGAGCCTGGGGGTGCGGAGCCTGAGCGAGAGGCGCCTAGAGGTGCTGAGCCTGGGGGTGCGGAGTCTGGGGATGCCGTGCCTGTGCGTGAGGAGCCTGGCGGTGCTGAGCTTGGGGGTGTCGAGTCTGAGGGTGCTGTGCCTGCGCGTGAGGAGCCTGGAGGTGCTGAGCTTGCGGGTGCCGAGTCTGCGGGTACTGAGCCTACGCGTGAGGAGCCTGGGGGTGCTGGCGCTGGAGGTTCTGGAGCAGCTGGGGGTGCTGGCGCGGAGGGTTCTGAGTCTGCTGTTGCGCGGTCTCCTTGGAGTAGCCGCCTTCGTCCACGTGTGCCTCTCACCCCACAGCAGCTCCAGGACTGGTACGGTCACCGTCAGCGTCGCGCTGCTGGAGCTAGGAGTGGTGCTGGACCTTTGTCTACTGGAGGTGCTGGAGTCGCTGGTTCTGGAGGTACTCGTACTGGAGACACTGAGGCTGGAGACCCTGGGACTGGAGGTGCTGGCTCTGGGGGTGCTGCTGCTGGTGACACTGAGGCTGGAGACCCTGGGACTGGGGGTGCTGGTTCTGGGGGTGCTACTGCTGGAGAC